GGGACCACCTCAGCCTGGTCCTTATTGTTCATATCACTATCAGCAGTTTGGGCAAAGCCATTCAACAGGTCTCTAGGAAGTTCCAAACTTTCCCACATTTTCCTGTCTTCTTCTGAGCCCTCCAAACTGTTCCAACCTCTGCCTGTTACCCAGTTCCAAAGTTACTTCCACATTTTTGAGGATATTTTCAGCAACACCCCACTCTACTGGTACCAATTTACTGTGTTAGTCCATATTTATGCTGCTGATAAAGACATATCCAAGACTGGGCAATTTACAAAATAAAGAGATTTAATTGGATTTACAGTTCCACATGGTTGGGGAGGCCTCACAATCGTGGTAGAAGGCAAGGAGGAGCAAGTCACATCTTATGTGGATGGCAGCAGGCAAAATAAAAGAGCTTGTGCAGAGAAATTCCTGTCCTTTAAAACCATCAGATCTCGTGAGACCCACTCACTATCACAAGAACAGCACGGGAAAGACCCACCCCCATGATTCAATCGTCTCCCACCAGGTCCCTCCCACAACATGTGGGAATTATGGGAGCTACAAGATGAGATTTCTGTGGGGACACAGAACTAAACCATATCAAAAGCTGCTATAAATATCCACGTGCAGGTTTTTGTGTGTACATAAGTTTTCAACTCTTTTGGGTAAGTGCTCAGGAGAAAAATTTCTAGATCTTATAATAATAGTATATTTAGTGTTGTAAGAAACAGCCAAACTGTTTTCCAAAGTAGCTGCACTATTTTGCATTTCCATCTTCAGTAAGTGAGAGTTCCTGTTGCTCCACATCCTCACCAGCATTTGTTGTTGTCAGTGTCTTAGATTTCTGCCATTCTAATAGATGTGTAGTGGTAACACTCATTTTTTACTTTTTAAGATTCTATGGGCTGTTCAAGTGGCCCTCCTCATCTGAACTTCTCAGGTGGGATGCCATGGTCTTGGATGATCTTAATTCTATTACTGGGGATTTGGCTGGAATGGTTGTGGCCTCACTCCATGCGATCTCTCATCCTCCAGCAGGCTAGACCAGGCTTCTTCACATGACGGTGGAAGGGTTCCCTATAGCAAAAGGGTATGTCCAAGTAGAAAGCATTTTTCAAGCTGCTATTTGGCTTGTTTGCTACATGAAAAAAAAATGCAAGTCACATGTCTAGGCCCAAATTGAAGAGAGGGAGAAGAGCTGGATTTTATTTCTTCATAGAAGGATTTGCTCTATTTTCCCCTTCGATAGCAATTGGTGACTGTGATGTCTAATTCAGCGCAGAGATAACCTCTGACATTACATCAAATCACTCTAAATCCCCATCTAAGGGGGCACCCATAACATTAGAGATTACTTGGTGGGTACAACGTATGATACTTAAGTGATGGGTACACTGACAACCCTGACTTCACCACTATGCAGTCCATGCATGTAACAAAATTACACTTGTATCCCATAAATTTATACAAATACAAATTAAAATAGATAAATAAAAACAGCTTCATTAGTTAGTACAGGGAAATATTATAGAAAGGAGATTAATTAATTTTGCTTTTCTATTTATTCAGTTGGTCTTGTTCCAAGGAGACAGTCATCATCCCCCTAAATCCCCAGCTGTAGGAGCTCACAACCTTTGGTCTTAATGTTCCATAAAATAAAAGCAATACATTTACTCTTGCCTGCATTCCTTAACTGCTAAACAAGAAGTTTTTGAGGTTTAAGGGGTGACAATTAATTGTACTTCTTTGCCTTCCATCTTTAGAATCAGTTGAGAAATAGATACAAGCGATGGGAGTTTAACATCAAAATCATACCTCTATTGCTGACAGCATTGGTCCAGAGAATGCAGCTTGGGGTACAGCCAGACGGGGCTCCTGCTTCTTCCCATAAGGACAGACTTGGGGTGCTCCTTGGGAGAAGAGCCTGGGTCTCCAGAGCAGGTCCACTGGCCTGGCCAGACAAAAGGAAAGCTGTTGCTTCTCACCTTCCAGATTATGGCAGTCAAGACAGAGGGATCAGGGAAGGGCTCAGGAACAGGGAGAAAAGGGGCCACTAGGCTGTGTGTGAGTATGGCTCCTTCTCCCACCTCATCACCAGTCAGCTACAGCCCTGCCCTTTCCAGGGGAGGAGTGAGGAGTGAAAGGATGAAAAATTAGATGGAAGTTTTTCCCAAATACTTTCTATTTTGGCTTTTGGGGCAATTTTTCCATAGGCATATTGTGTTAACTTCTTGTTGAAGCAAAAGATGTACACAGAGGAGAGCGCTCAACAAGAGCAGACAACTCAGCACATTTTCACAAATGGAGGACACTTGTGTAACCAGAACCCGGGTCAACAACGGGGCATTACCAGCCCCTACAAGCTGTATGGGTTCTTTTTGTGTCTGACTTCTTTTGCTCAAAATGATGATGGTGAGGTTCACCCATGTTGTGTGTAGATGTGAACTGTTAATTCTCATTCCTGTATAGTATTTCACTCTGTGAATACAATTGCCATTCTACTGTTGATGGGTAAACTGCATCAACAGTAGAGTGGAGTGCTCTGTGAATACATCTAGAAACCGGGTCTAATTTCTAGATTTGACTGATTAAAACATTCTGCTATGTATCTTTTGTGAAAATATGCAGGTATTTCTGTTAGGCATATTCCTAGAACTATCCTTTAGAACCCAGAGGCTCCACTTACACAGATATATTCATAAAAGATGCTTAGAAATTTTAGACACTAAAAACTGTTTTCCAAAGTGGAACCGTGTGGCACTCCCACTGGCAGCATTATGAAAATTCCACATGCCCACCTCCTTGCCTCCCAATATTTTGAAAAGGGCAGAAGTTCTTGTTCTATAGATAAGTAAAATACCGAGAGAAAGAGAAAATAAGTCCCATTATAATTGAAAAGGGAAAGATTTTCCAAATAATTTTTAAAAAGAAATTTAAAAAATGCATCAATCCATCTTATTTTCTGATGCAGTTCAAAATAAGTTGCAGACAATTATTAATAACAGACAGGGTCTTTTTAGGTGCAATACCTCCTTACAAGCAGAAAGGTGATTTATGATCTAACTTTAGAAGCTTGAGATGCTCTCAAAGTCTCATCCAGCTCTGTGGAGGAAGGATTCTGCAGACAAGATGTTCCCTCCACAGAAATTGTGATAAAGCACCAGTTAGTGACTACAGCAAAGAAGTGGGAGTGTTTAACCTTTTGGGTGCACCAACAATGTGCTCCTTAATTTGAAAATATGGTACAAAGTGTTAGCAAGTAAAGAAGAGTAATTGTTCATCACTCAACTTGACATATCTCCTTTGCAGCAGAGGCAGGAGAAGGGATCCTCTCTGCTCCATTTATTTTGGCTTTCGTCTAACTTCTCTGAGAAAGGACCAGATGCTCTAATGAGCGGTACCAGACACTGAAACTATCTGGAGATCAGGATAAAACATGCTGACAGCTTTCCCCTTGAGAAGCCTACCTTTCCTCCGAGCTTCTTAGAGCATTTTATATGCATTACCCAGCAGCAAGTCTTATTATCCTTTTTTTTTGCAAATGGTAGAAAAGTGATGCAGGGAGGCTGAGCTGAAAAAGCTCACTCGAAGATACCAGGGAAGCCAAATGTTCAGCTCAAAATAGAAACTGAGAGCTCTGGGAAACTCAGACAGCCTGAGAGCGTTCTCTCATCTCTGGACACTTCTGTATCTTTTCAGACAATGAGCCTTTCCCTGAAAGAATTTTCCCCCCTAATGACAGGGCTGCCAACTCTCCCTCCAGGATGTTGTAAAAAGGTGACATTTAACGGAGGAAATGGAAACTCTAATTGATTTCTCCTAAAGCAGAAAAATAAGTGGTCTGTATTCCTTCTCTTGGCCAGATGTTTGTAATTGTTCCCTTGGGATTCTACCTTGGGGGAAGCTTTCAGCCTCTTTCAGAGGGAAAACAAAATAGTCCACTTGAATTGGTCTACGTACACACACAAGAATTGTTTCTACTTCACGGTGGAAGATGTGGAGAGCCCATCCAAGAAGACAGTAGTTTCAGGAAGAGAATTCCAGCTCATGTCACTAGCTGACAGCCCCAGAATATCTTGCAGAGATAAATAAGGAGCTTGAGGCGAACCCTCCATTTTTAGATCTGGATATATGGAGGCATGTGCTTATTTGGATCAGTTGTGTTCCTTGCTTTGGATAATGGAATTTTAGCAGAGAAGATGTGAGCAAAGTCTTGAAATGTGCTTGTGTAGGATGTCTTGCCCTCTTGTGTCGCAGTCATCACCATGAGAAGAACATGCCCCAGGGAGTCTGTGGGTCCAAGGAGGATGGACCAGCTGAGCCCAGCCTACATGGACCAACTACTAGCCACTCTGAAAACATGTAAGCAAGAAATAATTGTTTATTATTGTGAGCCACTGAGTGGTGGTCTGTTATGCAGCACATTATGTTATAATGGACAAATATAGGGCTATTAAGAGTAGAATAAGTAGAGGAGGATTCTTAGTCTGCTATGGACAATGCTTGCAAAAGTGTTTGGCTTAGGGTAGTCACATAGCAAGCACCTGGTAACTATGAGAGAAATGGAGCTCAACAGGTTGATTGTATATCATATAATTTAAAGATTAGAGTGAATCACATTAAATATTCTGAATGTCTGGACCGTCTGTCGATATCTTCCTATTAATTACCAGTAACTTTTCTCTCTTTTTTTTTCTTTTGAGACAGAGTCTCACTCTGTTGCCCAGGCTGGAGTGCAGTGGCATGATCTCAGCTCACTGCAAGCTCTGCCTCCCGGGTTCACACCATTCTCCTGCCTCAGCCTCCCGAGTAGCTGGGACCACAGGCACCTGCCACCACGCCCGGCTAATTTTTTTTTTGTGTGTGTGTGTTTTTTTTTTTTTTTTAAGTAGAGACGGGATTTCACCATGTTAGCCAGGATGGCATCGATCTCCTGAGCTTGTGATCTGCCCGCCTTGGGCTCCCAAAGTGCTGGGATTACAAGCGTGAGCCACTGCACCCAGCCACTTTTCTCTCTTTTTTTGTATCCTTTTCCCATGACTTCTTTACTGTCTCTTCCCCAATCAGTATTTCATTATCTATCTATGACTATCTGTCTGTAACATCCATCTATCTATGACTCAATCCTGGGCTGAACTATATACTCACCACATAGATTCTGCAATTAATATTCTGCTGTATTTGTTTTTTGTATATGTCTATCTACGCTTGTATACATCCATCGATCCATCTTATTTTTTGATGCTTTTCAAATAAGTGGCAGGCATCAGTACTCTTCACCTCTACGGTGAATTTTGACAAATGCGTACAATCATTATCCCTGAAGGTGTCCTTAGGCCCCTTCCTAGTTAAGTCTACCCCCAAACCCCAAGGTGAACACTATTCTGATTTTTTCCCACCATAGATTAGTTTTGCCTGTTTTAGAACTTCATATAAATGAAATTGTACACGGTGTAATCTTTTGTGTTCAGCTTCTTTCATTAGCAAAATATTTTCGAGCACCTGTGTTGTTGTAAGGGTCCTCATTTTAAAACTAATAATTTGACAAGATCTTTGCAAACTGATCTTTACCTTAAAAAGCTGGACTTCTCTGATGTGTACATAAATATAGTAACCACTTTTAAATTAAATAGCCTAAATACAGTAGCCACTTGAACTAAGCCTCTGAAACAGACATCTCTTTCATGTGTCTGTCAGACCTTGTCTTTTTGTTTTCATGCTCCCCACATCCCCCTACCTTGTTTAGCATTGATAAATATTTCAAAACTGCAGAGGAAATTTATCGTATTTGTCTCATGGGCACAGAGCTTTTGATTTACTGTGTTCAGTAAGATGTAGGGGGCTAACCAAGCTCTTAGGATTAACTGCATCTGACTGTCCTTCAAAAGGTCATCAGCAGTACATCCTTAGTAGGCCTCACAATAATGTGTCCACACTACAGGTTAGTGGGAGTGATTGAAAGGCTTGACGAGTTGTCCTGGATTTGCTCTGGTGGGGCGATCAGAGTCCATAGCACTGGGTGGGAAAACATGAAAGAAAATAAGTGAAAGTGACGTATTCCTCCAGAATAGCTAAAGGTCAGTGCTCACCCCATTCAGCCACTGTATTCCCTAGACTTAGCATGACGCGGTTGTTTCTAAAAATTAACGCCACACTTAGCGTGGTAATGTGGCTTTGTACTAAGGCCACCTAGCTAAGCCGGAACTACGTTTCCCAGAATTCCCTTGCCTGTAGGTTTCCGGGGTTAGCGCAGGCCACGTGACCTGATGCGTGCTTTGTGAGGCGGAAGTGATGCAGCGTTGTCGTCTCGTAGGCTTGAAAGGTGGGTGCCCGAGGTTAGGTACTGTCGCAGCGCAGGGAATTGTCCCAGTCTGCTGTCTCACCTTGTGGGCGTGGAGCCCCTCTAACTTTCCGAACTCCCTGGCGGCCCGCGTGCCTGTGGCAGATTCAGCTCCCAGTACTCCACCTTCGGCTGTCTTCCACTTCAGGGCCAGGCTGTGCTACCACTGTCAGGCCCCCCACCAGACACGGAAGCAACAGCTGTCCCTAAGTGTTCAACTCGCTCCTTCCCGCAAATGTAGAAGCTCAAATCCCTATAGCAAATTCTATATTCTATGTCATTTTTTTTTTTGAGACGGAGTCTCGCTCTATCGCCCAGACTGGAGTGCAGTGGCCGGATCTCAGCTCACTGCAAGCTCCGCCTCCCGGGTTTACGCTATTCTCCTGCCTCAGCCTCCCGAGTAGCTGGGACTACAGGCGCCCGCCACCTCGCCCAGCTAGTTTTTTGTGTTTTTTTAGTAGAGACGGGGTTTCACTGGGTTAGCCAGGATGATCTCGATTTCCTGACCTCGTGATCCCCCCGTCTTGGCCTCCCAAAGTGCTGGGATTACAGGCTTGAGCCACCGTGCCCGGCCTCTATGTCATTCTTAATGCTTCCATCTCTCTGGTTGAATCTAGAATGGATACAATCAGTAATGCACATTTACCAGACAGAGGATGTGCGGCATTTACTGTTGATTTATCTCTTTTCCTCCCTTTCATCTCAGTTTGGTTCCAGGATCTACACTCCTCCACCATAGTCAGGAGATTCAGGAAAAGCTGGCAGGGTTCAGCTTTCAAGTTGACCCTTGACGAACCATGGCCAATCCTGCTAAGAGTCATGAAAGTCAATCCTAACCAATGAGACCGAGGAGAAATCACTGAAGAACTTGTGGAAAACAGGCCCTCTGGATAAAGAGAAATGTGTGGGGAAAAAGGATTTTTTTAATGTTATTCTGGATGTTTCCCAAAAGTACTGCTGCTGCCTTGCCTTTCTGACAGACACTGGCTTTGGATGACATGCCGCAAGAAGGAAGGACGGATCTGGGGTTTTTGAAGACTCACTGAGATGCGCAAGGAACCAACCCTGAAGTAGCCAACTCATTCCTGTTTGCATGTGTTGACTGAAAAGAATCAAAATAAACAAAATATAACTTTACTTCTAAGAGGTTACAACTTGCAGGCAGGAAGCAGGCCTCTACCTGAGGCCATAAAGCATACTTTTAAGGAGAAAAGGTAGGTATTTATGCTAGGTGGAGAGGTAGGATATACGTATTCTGTAGCATACAGGAGAAGGCTATGAAAATTAGTGGAGGAAACTTGTTAGACACATGCTACTGGGCTTACGTATGAGGAATATCTGAAAGTGGACGACCTATGTTCACTTTGGGGTGAAGATTTAACATTTAGATGTATTATAATTAGGCCATAAATGCAAAAAGGTGAAACACAGGGCACAAGTTCATGATCTGTGTGATCTCCGGAGACCAGTCTGATCTAGCCCGCAGCCGGCAGTCATCTGTCAAGAAGGGGCTCTTTGTAGCCCAGAGTAGCTGTCAGGTTGGAACTATAAAACCAAAAGGAGGGCATCAGCGGTCAGATGAAGAGAAGTCTTTTGGCCTTTTGTCCTCTTGAAGTCAGCTTTGATAAGATCTGGTAACAATAAGGGGATGGGGATGGCTGCAGGTGGGACATGTCTGTTCTCTGTCCTGTCACAGCTGAGAGCTAGGAACTTTAGAGTCTTTCAGCCATACAGGGTCCTGTCATCCATTGAAGGGATCAGTCCATTGGGATTTTGCCAGTTTTAGCGTTGATCCTGTGTCCTGGGAAACCCCTCAATACTTGTCATACCAGAAGGTCAGCCACTCTAGCCCTACCTCAGGACCTCTTTTATGGGAAAGAATAATTCCCTTAACTGCTTGAACCATTTGAGTTGTGGCTGCTTTTGGCACTTGTAATTGAAAGCATCCTGAATGTTCTGGGACAGTAAAAGAATGTGCCTTTATTTCTGACAGCAATTATAAAATCAATTATATGGTTATATTCTAAAAAATGTTTTGAGTAATCATTGGAAAAGTGCATCACTTAGAAAATGTATCTGTGTCCCGGGACCTGTTGTGGGGTGGGAGGAGGGGGAAGGGATAGCATTAGGAGATGTACCTAATGTAAATGACAGTTCACAGGTGCAGCACACCAAGATGGCACATGTATACATATGTAACAAACCTGCACGTTGTGCACATGTACCCTAGAACTTAAAAGTATAATAATAATAATAAAAGAAAAAGCTAAAAATAAATAAAAATACAAGAAGAAAAAAAAGAAAATATATCTGTGTGTCAATTTTGTTTGTTCAAAATCAGTTTCATTAATTTATGGGAAGATACACCTCGTACATTTTAATTAAAAAAAAATCTTGCCAGTTGAGGATACCCGTGATATATTCCAAGATAAACAACCTTTTTCAATTTTAGCTATTCATATGTCTTTGGGCCTTTGTTTAGTTTTGTCCTAAAATAGGATTGCTTTTATATGGGCCAGATTCCTGCAGCGATGCCATCTGGGAAGAAAGGGAGGGCATGATCTTTGTTCTACATGTTTAAAAGTCTCAAATGAGTTACTGGGATTTAAAAAATATATTCGCACTTGAGTTTGGTACAGTTCAGTGATTTTTTTTTTTTTGGAAAGAAATAAAGGTTTCCAGGGCTTGACACTGTCCTGTGGGTGTGGTCGATTAATTGCATTATTGGTCCCAACTCTTTACACCTACCCTTTGCCGTGTAGCCTGCTAGTGGCCTCTCACTATGACACTAGGATTTCCCATGTGATGTTCTTTGGCCAATAGGTGCAAGCAAAGGCTTGAAGAGCACTGGGGAGTTGAGATTGTTTGCTCATATCTCTGCTTTCATGATGACAGTGTGCCTCAGTTAGCCTGGGGAGAATGAGTGTCGCATGGTCCAAGCACCACTATTGCCACAGCTGATGATAAGTCAGATAACTGCCATATTTAAGTGGGCCCAGAGGAGACAAGAAGAATCACCCAGCTGAACCCAGCCTAAATTGCTGACACATTAACTCATGAGCTAAATAAATGCTTACTGTTTTAAGCCACTAAGTTCCAGGGAGGCTTGCTGTGTAGCATTTTTGAGTTATTTCATAACCAAGACATTTTTAAGCATTAGGGACATTTTGGGAAGGGCTGGAAGAGTTAAATATGTTGGCTTTATAGGCAGTTGTACCTTATACAGTTTAACTCAGAAGTTACTCAGTAATCACCCACTTATGCATGTGTGTGTCCTATTCAAAGATGAGTGCAACAGTACCATTTTAAGTATATATGTGTGTCTTTAGGCCTTTTGCCTTGCCCCAAAATGGGAGTGCCCTCAGATGGATCACATCCCACTAATGGGAGCTGGTTTCTGTTTCACATGTGTAATAGTTGTTGGGGGTTTTAGGAAAGGGTTTTTCTGTGTTTGGTGTAATTAAGTGATTAAAGACTAAAGACTACATCCACCAGATTCCTGTGTAACTTCCTTACAGTAATTTATGACCATGTTGGGGTTGTTTCCTACAGTTCTGATGGGAAATCATATATGACTAAATTTAAGTTAATTATAATTAAATAAAATTAAGAATTCCATTTATCATTTGCACCAGCCGTGTGTGAAGTGCTCAGTAGCCACATACAGCTAGTGGCCACTGCTTTAGCCAGCACAGATGCAGAACACTTTTGTTACCTCAGGAAATTCTATCCAGCAGTGTTGGTGTCAATGCTTGTGTTCACGTTTTTTATTTACAGACTCTTTTCTGCCTAAACTTCTAGTTTCTGCTGACCAGTTGCTTATGACAGATCCTCACTCTGGACCTCCCAGGAAAAATATTATTGTTCCCTAGTTTATTATATAAAACTCAAGCTAACTTGTTTTGACACCTACACCACTGAATGTTCTCTTAGTTTACAGGTCACAGAGCTAGCCATTAAAGTGGAGTTTTTATTTTACAGAGGGAGTTTCCATTCTGCCAGGGCAGAGTGAGGCTGTGGGAGGGAGTGATGGCCCCTGAGGAAACCCCCAGCTTGAGTTGTGAAAGCCCCAGCAAAAGCTGAGGGGAGAAAAGGAGAAGAAACCAAGGCACAGAAAAGGAATTTTGGGCAAAATCAGGAAATGCCCAGGTATCACTGGGCAAGGTTCCCTTGTATTTATCCTCCCACGTCCACCCCACTTTAGCTATGATTTACTAGAGGGGATGACCTGTCTCTGCTTTTTGGTTTCCTCAAAGGATTTTCCTCCAGTTTCTCTCCAAGCTTACTCAGATGGGGTGACCTTTTTGGATGATGAATCTAGGGAGTATAAACTAAACTCCTCAATGTCTGGAACTTTCCCTGATTGGACTCTTCACTACCAGCCTTATGTTCAGAGGCCTCCCAAAGAGGGTGACTGATGGGTGGGTGGGCACTCTGCCTTGTATTGTGGGGTTTAGTTGCAGGCCCATTGGGCCCTCATGTTGAGTCTTTTCTTTCAACAGTGCTTCTGTCAGGGATAAAGGCAAAATTTTGGTTTCCATCTGCCATTTTTTTTTTTTTTGGTCTTATTGCCTTGATTTCTTTGAAATTCAAGTAGGGAAGAAAGATGCTGTTTGTTGGATGTTCCTGCAGACCTCAAAGTCTTGCTAAAACGTTTTCTGAGGCTGCTGTATACTTGCCTTGGACTGCATTTGTTCCCAGTTTAGCTTGTGTCTGACCCTCGTAGTCTGAAGTGTATCCAGGTCTATGTTCTTATGGATTCTGCTGCATGGTGGTGGAAGGGCTTGATAAAGACTGATGGCATTTAACTGAGGTTTGAAGGAAGGACACAGTTTGGGTAAAGATAGAGGACAGGATGCAAAAAATCTAGAGTCAGGAAGCTCAAGGAGTGTTCAAAAGGGGAGTGTGAAGCCGTCTGGGTTGGACTGAAAGACTCCTGCAGGCACATGATAAGAGAAAGGTCTGGAGAGATCAGGATCATCAGCTGGTGATATTTCTCTTCACCTCAAAATCATTCAACATCTTTGCTCATTGTCCTTTCTAGACAGGAATAGGAGTCCTCCACACTCCTTCAAGGTCTACCTTCCTATTCCCTGCCACCTCCTCCAGCATCTTGTTCCCCTTAGTGCACCATTTTATGAGAAGGGTTAACCTTACTGAGCATTTATCTGTGTTGGAGACTTTCTATGGATTATTCTATTTTATCTTTAGAGCAACAACCTGTGACACAGGTAATATGGTCCTCTCTTTGTAGGTGCAGCGTCAGAGGCACCAAGTGGATAGGCAGCCTGTCCAAAGTCACACTGCTGGGGTTTAAACCAAGGCCAGGGTGAAGCTCTTAACTACACTACAGCTTCTTCCTATTTCTTTTGTAATTTCTTTCTTGTTTTACGCTCCCCTTCTGCATATAAAGATGTTCACATGTCCTTTCTCCTAAGAAACAACAACTTCTTTTAGTTGTCCCATCTCCTCAAGCTTTCCTCTGCCTCTCTCCTTCCTATTCCTGCCAAATTCCTTGAGGAGTCTGCATAGAGACACTTCTTCTTCACCATCATCTCCATTTTGCTGCTGGAAGGTGTGGCATTCAGTGATGGCTTTCTCTTTATTCTCACTTTTGCAGTTGTCCTGTAGATTTGACTGTTTTGACCATTTGTCTTCTTTCTATCCTTCTTTCCTCTTGGCTTTCTTTAAACTCAAACTTTCAGGTCTTTCTCTCTGCCTGATCATTCTACCTGTTCTGAAAGCCTCCCTGGCTCCTCGTACTTCCCTATCAATGTCTCACCTAGGGCTTTTAATGCATCAGAGAGCCAAGTCCTGATAGGTCCTTAAAGGCTGAGCACAAATGTCCTCCAAGAAACATCCTTTGATTCACCTCCCTCTTCCTGAACTCTCTGGCAATGTGTGTATTTTGTATCTGTTATCTATTGCTTCTAACAAGTTACCCCCACACTCATCAGCTTAAACATCAAACACTTATTATCTCACAGTTTCCATGAATCATACATTTTGGAGAAGCTTAGCTTGGTGGCTCTGTATTAGGGTCTTAATTGAGGTAGCAATTGAGATGTTGGCCGCAGTCATCTGAAGGTTTGACTGGGGCTGGAGGATTGTGTTCCAAGATGGCTCCCTCCATGACT